GAGATCTCCCACATCAAAACACCACCTGCCTTTGGAGCCTTGATGTGCTGCAGACCTTAAAAGTTTGGGTGTGGAAAGAACAAAATAGAAATATCCATCCCACCAGTATAGGAAGTTTAATTCATGCTTATTCTGATTGCTCTGTATTCCTTTACCAGTCCACGTACTAGGAGAAAAAATATACCATCCCTCAAGACCATAATCAGCTTCCACTCCCAAACATCTAAGACCATCAACAAAACCTAGACCTACCATGTCTACCATCTTTTTGGTATTTGTTGATAGAAAGCTAAATATGAAATAAAACCCAATTACAACCAGCACCATAGCACCAAACTCTTCAATATGGCATTGGCAGCCAACTTCATGATCAAACCCAACATTTAACTGAGTGAAACCAAAATCGAAAACAACAAGAGTCCCATATTTAGCTAACTTTGCACCACACTGAGCACTAATATAATCCAATAAAAATGCCCAAAAAACTATCAAATGGGTCCAAGTGATTGAGGTAATTAACAATATATCCAAAATAAACCATATCACCCAAGACTGGAAATTAATTCTAAACCCTAATATCCAGCAACCAATCAATCCAATTAGGGTTTTCAAAGATGTCACCTGAAAAATGCTGCCATCCACCCAGGCCGTAATGAATTTCAAAAGCCCCTTCCAAAACGTAACAAGCTTTGGTGAAATATGTTCCTCTTTTCCGAGTACTCTTGAACTAGTTCCAAAGAAAAGAAAGATCTGCCCATAAATTTTGGTGCTTTGAGACGTTAAATTCAGGGGAATAGCTTGGCATCACCATGAAAGAAGATCTAGATCTGGAAAATTGGTTTGATGGTTTTGGGCTGACGATTGGTGAATAAAAGATGCAGGAAGTGTTTTTGGGTTTCCTTTATTTATTGGGTGCACTGTTTTATAGTCCAGAGAGTTCTGGACTGTAAAATAGAGATCCTTTGATGGAGAGGCCCAATACCATGAGCCCTCTCCCATCCAAAGATTAGTATTGTACAATATGAAATAGTCTGGATTGTAAAACATTTTTTCATTATATATTATGCTTTGAAATCAAGACTAATGTCAGGAAACAAACATATTGCAGGAGATCCTTTCTGAGCTTGGTGTTCCTGAAGCAGTTTTTGAGGTGTGATCTTAATTTCACATTCCACATTCAATTTTTTCTTTTCCTATGCACTATATATATCCAAACTAACTGTACGTAACAGGGGATGAAACGATTAAGAGCAATGAAAAAAATTACATTTTCATTTTCCATTCTTTATTTCTTTACTTTCATTTTTCATGAATTTTCAAAAATGAAGGGCATAAGGAAAGGAACCTCGCAGGAAGAATTAGGGAAGGTTTGGCAAACTTCAAAGGTTTGAATTTTTTGCACCTTTGTATATCCATCTTTTCTTTCTTGTTTCCTGTACATCATACCACAAGTCTCATTGAGGCATTTGTATGTACATTAATTGGAATGAAAGACTTTAGCACCTTCATATATCCATGTTTTCTTTCTTGTTTCCCGTACATTATCCCACAAGTCTCATTGAGGCATGTGTATGTACGTTAATTGGAATGAAAGACTTTTAGCCACAAATGACTATATATGTTCACAAGTTAAATTGATTTGAGACTATTTTTTGCATTTTGTTGCTATTACTTGCAGGATAAAATTCCTGCCCAAAAGGAAATATTGCAAGACAAAATGGAAGAAGACTTGTCAAACATGGTAGAGATATTTTTGCTTCATTTTATCTTTAATTTATGATTATTGATATCATATACAGTATAATTATGGAAGTACTGTTTACCTTTCCCTTAATTCATGTTGGATGTTTTCATTTCATTCCTTGATCTCTTTCTTGAGTCATGTTTCCTTCAGTATTATGGTCCATCACTGGCCTTGGAAGGTAGGAAAGCGGCCATGAATGAACCAATTAAACAATATACTGTAGTTCTACAATTTTATGAACTATAGTAATGTACGCTTTTCATTATATATATATATATATCCATGGATCTATATCTCTTGAATCATGTTTAATTCTCTATTTTGAATCAAAGCCAGCTTGCTCTTTTATTTTCAATTTCTCTGTGATTTATTTTTTCCTCTAATCTGCATTTATTTTGCTTCTAAATGAAGGCTGAATTCAGTAGACTTCAGCAAACTGAAATAAAGGAGGAGACCATGCGTGAAAAGTATGAAGTTACTGAAGAAGGTGTAGAGGTGTGATCTTTATCTTAATCCTCCATATTTCCCATTTTTTCTTTTTGTTTGAAATGCACCATATCACAAGTACCCCTTTGTACTCTGTTTATTTATAAAAACCCATTTTGCTGCTTAAAAAAAAGTCATAAAGGGAAGTGCTTGTTTATGCACATCAGTCCTACCTATGAGTGTTGATGCATCCTTGAAAAATGATTAAAACAGCATATATTTGAGGAAGTCTAGAGAGGGTTATTTTAGTCTTTGTTTGTAAGTATTTATCAAAATGATATAATTTTGAGTCTTTTTTACTCCTAATTAAGACAATGATGAGTGTTGATATATATTATATTAATAGACTTTTAGCCACACATGATTATAAATTTTTAGAAATTTAAGGATATTTCATGTTTTATTGCTTGCTCTTAGAGGGTGAAATGGTAGAAGATATGTTGGACGAGGCAGCTAGAGACATTTTTGCTTCATTATCTTTAAGTTATTATTGTTGATATTCTGATTATGTTATCCGCCATTCCACTGATCTCGCATTCTCACTTTCATAATTTTGCAAATGAAGGACAAGAAGGAAAGAACCTTCTGCCCTGGAGAATGTTTAGAGAGGTTTTCATTTAAGGTGTGATCTTTGTCTTACTCCCTCCATATATCCATCTTTCCATTTTTGTTTCCATTACATCATATCACGTTATTGAGGCAGGCAAGTAGGTATCTACGTCTGTGTGTGTGTGTGTAAATATGTTTATAATAAAAAGACTTTAATCCTGTGCATATGATCATGTTCAATTCTGAGGATATTTAATTTCATGTTTTTTTGCTTATACTTGCAGGATAAAAGGACAGAAGGGCTGTCAGATGTGGTAGAGATGTTTACGCTACATTATCGTATATGTTACTGTTGTCGATGTTGTAATTATGGAATTACTTAATTTTCTCTCTAATTGCAGGGGAATGAAGAATTGACTGAGGTATATAGAAATTTTTCTCATAATCTTTTAATGTTATGGAATTAATATGTTAACTGTTAGAGAAATCTGCTGAAAATAGCTCTTAGAAAGTCCAACATGTCTATTTATTTATTTATTTTTTTAATGTTATCCATTGATATCTGTTTCTCAAATCATGTTGCCTTCAGTGGGAAGTTTTGTTTGGAAGTGAGGAAGTTGCCATGAATGAACCTAGTCACCCTGATGATGTAAGTTCTACAATTGCATAGACTCTGCTAATGAACAAACTTGATGACATGGTCAAGATTAATTTCAGACTAAAAAGGCTAAGAGAAATGGAAACAGATGTTTTTTCATGCTTTCAGTGCTATGCTTTCTGTTTCAATTACATCGTATCACGTTATTGAGGCAGGCAAGTAGGTATCTACGTCTCTGTGTGTGTGTGTAAATATGTTTATAATAATAAGACTTTAATACTGTGCGTATGATTATGTTCAATTCTGAGAATATTTAATTTCATGTTTTGTTGC